TTTTTCGACATAACGTCTTGTACATCTCATTGTTGCAATGGGTCCTCCTGTATCCCTATTTAAACAATTTGTTTTTTCCCTTCCCCTCCACAAATTATACCAACATCAAATACAGTGAGAACAGGGGTTATACCATGGGGGAGAGACATACAGAGCAATAAAGAAATATAAATATGTTAGAAACAATCGCAAGAAAGAAAAACCATTTGAGGCTGCCACCTCCTCCAGCCGCTGTGGTGCTGCCTGTGTGCTCGTTCGGTGCGGACCCGGGACCTCTTTTGTGAAGCGGCATCTGAGGAGAGACTCCGGTGCTTGCGATGGCCGATGAAAAGCCCAAGGAAGGAGTCAAGACTGAGAACAACGATCATATTAATTTGAAGGTGGCGGGGCAGGATGGTTCTGTGGTGCAGTTTAAGATGAAGAGGCGTACACCACTTAGTAAACTAATGAAAGCCTATTGTGAACGACAGGGTTTGTCAGTGAGGCAGATCAGATTCTGATTTGATGAGCAGCCAATCAATGACACAGACACACTTGCACAGTTAGAAATGGAGGATGAAGATACAATTGATGTGTTCCAGCAGCAGACAGGAGGTGTCTACCTGCTACTTTGCTCCAGAACTTTGTTCTTATAGACCAAGAATACCTTCTTAATTAGAAAACTGCAATTTGGTTCCACCACATCCTCACTACTACAGTATAGTTTTCTCTATTCTTTCATTTTCCCCTTCCCCATTCCTTTATTGTACATAAAGTAACTGCATATTGCTTTTCTTTTTTCTTCTTTTTTTTCTTTTTAACTAAATGGCCAATGATATATTTTGGTTCATCAAATGGAGATGGGATGGGGAAAAATACTGGTCCTGTGAAAATATCCCCCTTCTCCATTCGTGGCATGCGCATTCAGCTTTTATCTTTATATTTCAGTAAGTTATTTTGCTCTCACTGTTTTAACAAAAAAAAAAGAGAGAAAAAACCCAAAAATTATTGCATACCTTGTTTGATTGGAGAATTTTAATGTTTTCATTTATCATTGTAAAACCAAGGACAATTTTATAACTTTTTTGTACATAGCTGTTACATGTAGGGCAATCTGTCTTTAAGTAGGGGTAAATCACTCTTAAAAAAAAAAAAGAATCCTCGATAGTTTTCCCTTCAAGTCAAGCGTCTTGTTGTTTAAATAAACTTCTTGTTTAAAATGAAAAAAAAAGAAAGAAAAACCATTTGAGTCCTTATTTTGGGGTTCACTTCACCTAACATCAGCTTATCTGACCGTTTCTGCTTGACTCATACATATACTAGATATTGCAAATAAGGGAAAACCATGGGACCTATGTTTCTTTGGGCTTGGCTTACTTCACTTAATATAATTTTTTCCAAGTCTTTCCATTTCCTAACAAATGGGGCAATGTTATTCTTTCTGATGAAGGCATAGAATTCCATTGTGTATATATACCACATTTTCTTGATCTATTCATCTACTGAGGGGCATCTAGGTTGGTTCCATATCTTAGCTATGGTAAATAATGCTGCAATAAACATAGTTGTGCTGGTAGCTTTAGTATGGTCTTTTTTGTGATCATTCGGGTAAATGCCCAAAAATGGGATTGATGGGCCATAGGGGAGTTCTATGTGGAGTCTCTTGAGGAACTTTCATACTACTTTCCAAAGTGGTTGAACAAGTTACCAACAGTGCTGTAGGGTTCCCTTCTGGCCACATCCCCACAGCATTTATTGTTATTAGAGTTCTTGATTATAGCCATTCTAACTGGGGTGGGTGGTAGCTCAATGTTGTTTTGATTTGCATTTCTTTTATTGCTAGGGAGGTTGAACATTTCTTCATGTGTCTAATGGCCATCCTTTCCTCTTCAGAGAAGTTTCTCTGTAAGTCTTTAGTCCACTCACTTATTGGGCAGTTGTTTCTTTGAGGATTTGTTGTTGGGGGATTTAATTTTTTGAGTTCCAGGTATATTTTAGATATGAGACCCTTGTCTGTTGTATGGCTAGTGAAGATCTCCTCCCAATCGGTGCCTTTGTCCAGTATTTAAAGTTGTCTCTTTTTTTTTATTGTTGTCTAGCTACTAGTCCCTTTTCAGAAACAAAGTTTTAAATACATGAATTTTCTCCTACTCTGTAGTTTTCATTTATCTTTTTAATAATATTGTTGCTGGAGGGGAAACTCATGTTGTCTATAGGCTCTCTGAACCTCTCAGTCTTTTTATCTACACAATAAGGTGAGCTAGTTGGCTTTTGAATGCTGAGATTCTTTGGTTCTCAAATGCAGAATAACTGTTTTCTTACATTATTCAGCAGGTAAGTTATACGAAGTATCTTACAAGAAAAGTTGATGTTCTGTGAATAGGCATTCTGCCAAATTGTATAATGAAATATACATGGCTTAATCATTCTATACCTCTACATTCTGATAAATTCTTTCCAACTAACTATATTGATTAGCCTTTTACTGTATATAAAGTTTTAAATGTGACATGTTTCCTTTTTTCTTCTTGTTAATATTTGTAAAATATTATACATTTGTAAAATATATACATTTGTAAAAATGTATACATCAATATCATTTCATAGTAATTCAAACAATACAATAATTATAGATAACAAAATGAGATTCCCTTTCATATCTACTGCTCTTTTATTTTTCCTCTTAAAAATTACATATTGTTATTATAAAGGTGATATGCAGAGAGAATACAGTTACATAAGCCAGGTAATGAGTGCATTTCCTTTTGGACAATGTCACCCCTGTCACCCCTTCCCTTGCTTTCTCCCAGTTTTTCCCTCCCATCCCCACTTGTATAGTTCTATAGTTGTATAGTTCATTTTCAACATAGTGTCTAGTGAGTATCACTGTCCCATTTGTTCACCCTTTGTCTCTCCATCCTCCCAAAGACAGATAAATGTACAAATAAGACAGAAAGCAAACAAAAAGAACAATGAAGTAGAAACCTTTTGTTTCCATTTCCAGGAGTTCATTTAGATAGACACTATTTATATGATCAGATGAATATAGACATTGTAACTTTATGCCTAAAGGAGGCATCCACAGTTAACATTTTGGTAGCCTCTTTTCAATCTTCTTTTTTGTGAATACATAGAGAATATTTTTAACTTTTACATATATTTTTCATAAATGGAATCAGGTTGTGCATTTTAATTCTTTTCCTCTATAATTTTATACATACTATGTTATTTGTATATAATTTTTAATAATGACTGCTACAGTGTTATAATTGTAGTGTTTAGTTTTCTTAATCAAGCTTCTTTATTTTTTGTTGTGGTTGGGGAAGGAGTAAAGCCAGAATCAGGACAAGGGGCTTCTCCCACAGGTCTCCTCTGCTTTCATGTTTTGGATCATTGGGAAGACTTTGAGGAGATTAATCTGAGACTAGTTAGTCTCAGAAGTGGATGCTAGCCCATGTGACTCCTGTACATACATCTCTCATGTACTTGATTAGACTACAGTATTATATAATAGTATCACAATTCATTTAACCACTCCCCTTTATTGACCATCAGTTTTCTTTATCACCATTGAAAGCAATGGTATGTAAACACTCCTGCAAATATTCATTTGTGTAGAGATTTGTGTGTGTATGTGTGTCTGTCTGTCTGTCTGTCCCGGTACTGGGGCTTAAACTCAGGGCCTGTTTGCTCAAGGCTGACATTCTACCACTAACATGTATTTCCTACATGTAGCACTGATTTTTTTTTTTTTTTGGTGGGGGGGGTCGGTGGTGGGGCTTGAACTCTAGGCCTGGGCATTGTCTCTGAGCTCTTCATCTCAAAACTAGGGCTCTACTACTTTTAGCCACAGCACCACTTTTGGTTTACTGTTGGTTAACTGGAGATAAGCGTTTCACATACTTTCTGCCCAGACTGGCTTTGAACCACAATCCTCAGATCTCATCCTCCTGAATAGCTAGGGTTACAGGTGTGAGCCACTGGCACCCAGCTTACATGTAGCATTGAAAATACTGAATTTTTAAATAGCTACCACCAAATTATCTTCCTAAAAGTTTTTACAAGCTCATATATCTGTCATAAGGGAGAATTCATTTACCTTCATCATCGCCAAAATGTTAGCAGCTTAAAATCTTTTCAGTTGTAGTGGTTGAATTATGTATTTTATTTTTGATTTTTAAAAACAGTTCATTTTATTAAATAGTTGAATTTAAATATTAGTTTGTGGTTTTTTAAGTTACATTTATATGATGTCTGGATGTTGAATATTCTTTCATTTCTTTGTCAGCCGTTATTTCATTTTCTGTGAATTGTTTTGATCCTTCCATTTTTCTTATGAAATTGGATATTATTTAGTGATTTGTAAAAAAATTGAAATATGTTTTGCATTTGAGTCTTCTGTGTTTTAGAAAACCACAGATAATATATTTTTCATGTCTGCTGCTTTTTTTTAAAAAAGCTGTTTATAAAGTATCCTATAGAATAGAAACATTTTATTTTGTGAAGGTATCATCTTTTATCTTCTCTGCTTTTCGTGTAGTTCTTAAGAAAGACTTCTTGTGTAACCCATTTTTTATCAATGAGTAGAAGCTCTTTTTATCTTAATCTGAATTTCCACATTTATTCAATTTGTTTCTGTACACTATTCTTTCTGATGTGTTTTTTTTTCTAATTTTTAACCAATAAAATAAAATACTTGCAGATCCAGTAGTTTACCACCTCTTCCATCTGCCAGGTCAAAATATTTAATTTATTGATCAAAAGTTTGTGCTCCTATGAAGAGATACTGGTTAATCTCTTAATATGGTTCATAATTCATTCTCTTCAAAAATGCACCTCTCTGTTCATCATCTTTGTAGTAACAATAAAAATTTTAACAATAAAAATTTTAGAAAGACAAAGAAAAAAAAGAAATATATGCCTTTGTCATCTTGACTACTAAGATGGTACTAACAGTAGTCTTGACTTCCCTAAGTTATCCCAGTTAGCCTTCTGTATTTAATTTAAACATTGTTTTTCAGTTACAGATGAAGACACAGTAAAGAGGTATTTTGCCAAGTTTGAAGAAAAATTTTTCCAAACCTGTGAAAAGGAACTTGCCAAAATCAACACATTTTATTCAGGTAAGTAGTCATATTAAGAGACAGCGTCTAGAGCTAGGACAGAATGAACTCTGTAATGTCGTTGTTTAAGCTTATTCACGTGGAGGCTTTGCTTTCCTTGCTGTTCTAAAGGAATATTTTGTTTAGCTGGAATAAGAATTCTCCTAGCACCTCAGTGCTTATTAAACTTCATATTGTCAGATTTTCTTGTAGGACCTCAAGAGTAAGAATGCTGGTTTTGTCATTTATAAGAATCAAATTTCACAGCTCCAGATTTTGACTTAGGCTAATGTTATGCTTATTCACTGCCTAGAACACTCCTGCCTAGAACATTCCAGAGTGGCACTTACAAAATGCCCTATGGTATGATAGAAAAATATTAGAACTTCTGTTTATTTTGTTTCTGTGTTGAAATGTACATTAGTAAGCAGTAATTTTATAATGAAAAAATAACCTCAAAAACTCTGCTCTAGAACACTGCCTTTAAGTATCACCATTCCTTTGATACCTAGTTGATACTCAGATAATCTGTTTCATGAAAATAGAATCAAAGCAAAGCCAGTTAGGTTCAGAGGCACATTTTATTCAGATTGTGGAAAAACCTTACATACAATGAGTATCACACTGCTGAATTTCCATCCCTAATAACTAGAATGCCTTTTAGATGTATTGATCTATTCCTTGAATAGTAATAGATTTCTTCATCTGTTTCCCATTGTTAATAATGCAATAATACCACATACTAGGTAGGTTTTCAAGAAAACTGTCTCGTTTCTGAAGGTCCAAGGTAAAACAACTATATGTGTTAAAGGTCTTCTTGCTTGTAGAGGTTTGAGGCAATACAAAACATCACTTTGAAGCAAGTGAGGCGCCATCCACATGTCTTCTAGTCTCTCTCCTCCTTAGTATTTAGTCCTGGGGCTCCATGCTGATGAATCTTAAACTAATCCTAATCACCTTCTAATGGCCCTGATTCTAACACTGTAATTAGATAAAGTCTCTTCCCACTTCATACCTAACAATGGGGATTAATCTGTACCATGACTTTTGGAGTGGATAGACCATAGCACTGAATGAACAAATTAGGCCTAAAATTACTTTCTAGATTTTTCTTTCTTTGTTTAGTGTGAAAATTACATTCATACTACTAATATACTGTTATTAGAGGAGATTTTAGTTTTCTATTATTGCATATATAATATATATTTATATTTATTATAATAAACCAAATATTCTAATGTGCTTTAGTCTAAGCATGAATAGTTTCATGGCTTTGTTAGCTTCTTTTTCAGAGAATGATTTTTTTCCTAGGTTTTTTACAACTACCAGAAGCATCTTACTAAGGCTAATTTATGTTATAGTGGGAGATGGAGAGAGGCAAAAAGCAATGAAAGGTTGCTTTCAAAAAGCAAGAGGCAGCTGGGTGCCAGTGGCTCACACCTGTAATCCTAGGTACTCAGGAGACTGAGATCTGAGGGTAAAGGTTCAAAGCCAGCCCAGGTAGGAACGTTCATGAGACTCTTATCTCTAGTTAACTACCAGAAAACCAGAAGTGGCACTGTAGCTCAAGTGGTAGAGTGCTAGCCTTGAACTGAAGAACTCAGAGATAGCGCTCAGGCCCAGATCTGGTTCAAGCCCCATGACCTACTACCCACCCCCTACCTCCCCCTCAAAAAAAAAAAAAAGCAAGAGGCTCAGCAGAGTGCTATTGGTTTGGGTTTGTAATCCTGGCTACTTAGGAGGCTGAGATCTGATGATTGTGCTTCAAAGCCAGCCCAGATAGGGTAGTCTGTGAGATTCTTTATCTCCAATTATAGCTGGAAGTAGAGCTGTGGCTAAATTGGTAGAGTGCCAGTCTTGAGCATAAAAGCTAAAGAACAGTGCTTTAGCCATGATTTTAAGCCCCATACTGGCACAAAACAAACAAAGGCAAGAGGCTAAAGCCCAGTGATAGCATTGTTCATCTGAGTCACTATTTTTGCAAAATGAATCTTCTTCTAAGATCTAGTATAAAATAATGCATTCTACTTTAATACCTATTTGTATTAACTGATCTCTTGGCTGTTGATTGAAAATTTAGACTCCTGACTCCCAATCTGAACTTACTCTATCAATGTTTTGTTTTACCTTGGATGACTTAGTTGCCCTTGTTTTAGTCTAATGTTCTGATGACCATACTCATTGCCTAAGATTGCTCTTCTTTAAAATAGTCTCTAAGCCATGTCTCCCAGTATTTTTTGTTGTTGTTTTTAGTACTGGGGGTTGAATTCAGGGATAGCTCATGCTAGGCAAGTATTCTACCACTTAAGCTATGCCCCAGCCATTTTTGGCTTCATATGTTTTTCAAATAGGGTACAGTGCATTTTTTCCTGGGGCTAGCCCCAGACTCTGTCTTCCCTATCTCTGCCTCTGGAATAATTGAGATTGGAGATGTGTACAACCATAGCCAGCCTCTATCCCATCTTTTCATTTTTGTTCCTCTACTCCTTTGACATCTGTTTTTTCATCTCACGTAGTTCATGCTCCTTAACTCCTTCATTTTCAGTCACTAATGCCTGTTCCATAAACAATTACTTTTCCTCATTTACCCATTTTATCTCCTATGTTTTCAGTCCCTTTACCTCCATTCCATTATTTACCCCCATTGACTGCTTAGATAACAGCAGGGCAAATTGGAACTTTTATAAATTCATTGCTTAAAACTGCCTATGGGTCCTCATTGGTTTTTTTCCTCCTTATTCTTCAAAGTGCCTTCTTCTGAATTAATTTTTGTTTTTGCACTTGCTGGTGGTGGTCATGGGGCTTGAACTCAGTGCCTGGGGTCTGTCCCTAATTTTTTGTGCTCAAGGCTAGTGCTCTGCCACTTTGAGCCACAGCTCTACTACCAGTTTTCTAGTAGTTAATTGAAGATAAGAGTCCTATGGACTTTCCTGCCTAGGCTGGCTTTGAACTGTGATCCTCATATGCCAACCTTCTGAGTAGCTAAGATTACAGGCATGAGCTACGAGCACCTTGCTTGAATTCTTTCCCCTCCTCCTCTTCTGTTTTCTCTTTGCAGTGCTCGGGATCATATCCAAGACCCTAAGCATTCTAGGCAAGTGCTTTTCCACTGAGCTACATTCTCTAACCCTTCTTCAAAATTCTTTAAGCCCATGATTTTTCCCAATATGCTCATCATACCCCTTGTTTTAAAATAAAAATAACCAACTCTTGTTTACATATAATACCATGCGTATATATGCCACCCCTTCCACCCCTCTCACTCTTACTTAGTTTTCTTCAATTTTTGTAGAATAGATATCCTTCTTCATTCTGACCAGATTCAATTCTTTGAGGCTTTGCTCCATTAATGAATAGATGTTCTTATCTCCCCCCCAACACACCTTTTTTTTTTTTTTAATTTGTTCAGTCTTTGGGTAAGCCATCCTTTCAAACAAAAAGTAAATAAGCAAACTTTTAAATTTTGTTCTCTCTCTCTCTCTCTTTTTTTAATCGGTCGTGGGGCTTGAATTCTGGGCCTGGATGTTGTCCTTTAGCTCTTCAGCTCAATGCAAATGCCTTACCGCTTTAGCCACAGCGCCACTTCTGGTTTTCTGGTGGTTTATTGGAGATAAGAGTCTCATGGAGTTTCCTGCCCTGCTGGCTTTGAACCGAGAGCCTCAGATCTCAGCCTCCTGAGTAGCTAGGATTACAGGTGTGAGCCACTGGCACTCAGCTTCTTCTCCTCATTTTATCTGGGCTTCCTTGCTAGGCACAGAGAATAGTTTATACAAATACAGGACCATGAAAAGTCATGGTGCATATTCATGCCCTTTTCACTAGATTACAGGTACCTAAAATACAGAGACAAAATAAAAGTATGATTTGAAAGCATACCAATGAATATATCTTCTTCAAGGGAAAAACATGCAAGAGAAATGACAGTGTTCTAAGGACAAAGATACCTTCTACAACTAGAAGGTAGAAGGATAAATAGGATATAGCAATATAGACACACACACATACACACATACAAAACTGCCAGGAGGAGCCAGTGGCTCATGCTTCAAATACTTCATGCTTGTAATATTAGGAAGCTGAGGTCTGGAAGATCACAATTGGAAGCAAGTCATGGCAGAAAAGAGATTTCTTCAGAGATTTCATCTCTAACAACAACAACAAAAGGCCAAGAGATTCTATCTCCAACAAAAGTAACCAAAAAGCCAGGCTAGTGGTGTAGCTCTAGAGGTAGAGAGCCAGCCAAGCCAAGCAAACAAGCCCAGAGAATGTAAGGCCCTGAGTTGAAACCATGGTACAAAAAAAAAAAAAAAAAAGAAGAGGAGAGGGGGAAAAAAAGAAGTTGAAAGATGAAGGGTTTTTTGTTTTGTTTTTGTCAGTCGTGGGGGCTGAACTCTGGGCATGAGCACTGTCCCTCAGCTCTTCATCTCAAGGCTAGTGCCCGACCACTGGAGCCACAGCGCCACTTCCGGCCTTTTCTGTTTATTATATGGTGCTGAGGAATTAAACCTACAGCCTCATGCATGCATGCGAGGCAAGCACTCTACCACTGAGCCACCTTCCCAGCCCAAGAGGAAGGTTTTTACATTAGAAAGAACCTAAGTTAAGAAAAGAGTATTAGATATGATCAAAGGTTGAAAATGAAAAATATACAAGATCAAGTTTATTGGCCTTTTCTTTAACTGTGATGTTTTTTGGAAGAATCTCTGATCCCAATTCTAAATGGATAATTTATTTTACAGAACAGATAATGGTTCTTGACTCACAAACAAAAATAAATACCTATTTTTGGCAATAGGTCATTTTTGTATTTTGAGTTATCATAAGAAATGATGTAAACTTGTTCAACTACTTTGGAAAGCAGTATGGAACTTTCTCAAAAACACTAAACACAGAACTAGCTTATGATCCACCAGTTACACTCTTAGTCATTTACCTAAGATACAGTAAGGCTGCCTATACAATCGTGCTCATTGCATCACTATTCACCATAGCCAAGGTATGGAAGGAGCCCACATGTTCCT